ATTAATAAATCAGTATAAACATACATACCGATCAACAGTTGGACACACACGTTTTCAGAAGCCGCAAATATATAAAAATATACCGATCAAAGCGTGATCAATAAATAAACAAGTACATGAATTGAAAATAAGATAAATAGATGAATAATGGATAGACAAGCATGAAATAGACAAACATGAAAAAAAACATTGAACAAATAAAAGCATTTTCTTTTTCCTTTGATTTAATACATCTTTTTTATTTGCCGACACCAGTGGGGAAAACATCGAACTACGCAGTGGTAATGGCGCAATTATACATATGGAATGTTTAGGCCGCACCCCTTCATGGCTTCAGCTCAGGGACGAGACCACACGCATCAGAGAGTCCTGCCAAGTAAAGGAGTGTTTTGTTATATAATGATGTTGTTTAGATGTATACATTGCCATTGTTGGTTGGTTATCAATGTTAGGTACAATTAGTATTATCAATTAATTGTTGATTGTACATCATTATCATATATCGTCCTTCAGTGCTTCGTCGCTGTCGCTTTCAGCTCGGTCCTATTCAGTCTATCGTTCTTCGTCTTCCGTAGTCCTTCAGAGTCTTCGTCTTTATTTCGTCTCGTCTTCGTCATTCGTCTTCGAATTTATCATTTACGTACTTCCATGATACAATATCTATATATAGTACTTACTAAAGAACTTATACTGATTACTTATATACATGAGTTACTTCGCTTTCGAGAGGGAGCTTTACGTCTTCCGTACATACGATCATTACGTTCATCGTCATCGTCATGCGCATCGTACATCGTACAACAATAATCCTATCATCACCATATCATCATAGTCAGTCATCCATTCATACATCATCAATCACCATCATCATCAAACTCGACTAATAAATTTTTCACGTTTTTTGAGTTTATGTTTTCAGCTAATCCACACACACCTCTCTATACATATATTCTTCATAACATAATCGATAAATAATTGTACAACCTTTTTTTTTACTCTAATATTAAAATCGATATTTTACTAAGCCGCCTGGGATGTATGTCTATAAAGGCAAGCTTCATCACAATAGCACTTTTTATCTCCGTCAATTTTTTGCGTTTTCCGAATAAACTCCGAAGAAAATCATGTAAACAAAACATCTGGCCCGACTGGTCAGGAGTGAGAGTCCCGGGAATTCAACGAACATTCTCATAACATATTACGTTATTTTTAAAAGAAAGATGATGATGTATATTGTTTATACGAAATATTCTAAAATATTAGCTTGTGTTTACATTCACTGTCCCATATCTAAGATTTATTAATAGCACAAAGAATAAGACGAAATTAGTCAGACGGAAAACGGTCGTAGCCTGTCTAGATCTAGGTGAAAGGCGTTATCCGTTTTGTAAAGCTCGATCTTTGCGAGTAGATGAAAAAATTGAGAACAAATATAAGAAAAAAATTAACTAGTATGAGATGAAATATAGGACACTTAATTAACGATTGATGGTATTTAATATGAGCATATATACTTCTTTATAGCATAAGTAGCGTGACCGTAAACTCAGTGAGTCGAGAGATCAGGGCCCTCGCTTTTGGGGATTGTAACACACGAAATTGACAACGGGTTTTTCCTGAGTTCGAACACTACCGGATCCCACGAACCAATTATGCTCATGAAGCACTCAGCAGGTGTATGAAGGTGAGTTGGGATGATGGGTTGTTATTTCTATTTTTTTATCTGTCTCTGTACTCTTCTGTCTGTCTCTCTGTTCCTCTCTGTCTTCTAATCTGTCTCTCTCTCTGTCTCTCTCTCATCATCTCTCTCTCTCTCTCTCTTCTCTCGTCTTTCTCTCCTCTCGATCTCTCTCTCATCTCTCTCTCCTCTCTCTCTCTCTCTCTCTCATCTTCATGGCTCTCTCTCTGGCTCTCTCTCTGGCTCTCTCTCATGGCTCTCATCTCTGGCTCTTTCTCACGCTGGCTCTCATCTCTGGCCTCTACTCTCTCTCTCTCTCTCTCTCTCTCTCTTTCGTCTCCTGCTCTCTTCTCTCTCTCTCATCTCTTCTCATCTCTCATTTCTCTCTCTGGCTCTCATCTCCTGGCTCCTCTCTGGCTCTTCTCTCTGGTCCTCCTGTCTCTCTCTCTGGTCTCTCTCTCATGTCTTCTCCTTCTCTCTCTCCCTCTCCCTCTCTCCGTCTCTCTCTCTCTCTCTTTCTCTCTCCTCTCTCTCTCCCTCATCTGCGCTCTCTCCTCACCTTTCATCCGTCTCTCCTCTCTTCTCCCCCGCTCCCCTCACTCCCTTTCTCTCTCCTCCTCCCTATTCTTCTCTCCCTTCCTCCTTCCCCTTCCTCTCCTCTTCCTCTCCCTCCCCTCGCATCACCCCTCCTCCCTCCTCTCTCAATTTTCCACACTATAACCTTCAAACGAGGACTACTGAATGATAACACAAATCATCCCATCTCGGCATTTACACAAACATCGATTATCATTCGCGGACAAACCTCCCACGAACAGGACGGGACGTACGTGATTTAACTTTTCCAAGCACGAAAGTTAGCGTACGGCACCATGTCTTAGTGAGGGTCGATAGTGCGTGACGCTTGGCAAGCAACTGCAGAGGCGTCACCCATCGCCACGCCTCTGTCTGCCGTCCGACGTCAGTCTGAGATCGTGCCGGGGTGAGTGTTGGTTTTGTTGTTGGTGTTGGTTGGTGGTTTTTATTCAGAAGGTGTTGATCGAAGGAGTCCTGAGAAATGAAGAAGAGAGGGAGAGGAGAGAGAGAGAGAGAGAGAGAGAGAGAGAGAGAGAAACCTGAAAGATAGAAAATTAGAGAGAAGAGAGAAAGGGGGGAGGTATAGAGAGAGAGAGAGGGGGGGGGGGTAATAGAGAGAGAGAGAGAGAGAGAGAGAGAGAGGGGAGAGAGAGGAGGGGGGGGGGTAAGGAGAGAGAAGAGAGAGAGAGAGGGAGAGAGAGAGAGAGAAGAGAGAGAGACCGAGAGAGATAGAAGAGAGAGAGAGAGAGAGAGACCTAGAAAGATAGAAATTAGAGAGAAGAGAAAGAGAGAAGAGAGACCTAGAAAGGAATAGAGAAGAGAGAGGAAGAGAGAGAGAGAGAGAGGAGAGAGAGAGAGAGAGGAGAGAGAGAGAGAGAGAGAGGAGAGAGAGAGAGAGATAGAGAAAGGGAGAGGGAGAAGAGGAGAGGAGAGAAGAGAGAGAGAGAGAGAGAGAGAGAGAGGGAGAGAGAGAGAGAGAGAGAGAGAGGAGAGAGAGCGGGGAGGGAGAGGAGAGAAGTAGAGAAAGAGAGGAGAGAGAGAGGAGAGAGAGAGAAGAGAGAGAGAGAAAGGGAGAGAGAGGGTGAGGAAGACGAGAGAGAGGAGCATTCACAGGAGTTACAATGAGCCTAAATATCCACAACACACGAAATAGCTAAACACACCACCACACTGGGCAACAGCCTATTTCATTTACTAATTTGATATTTAATTGATTTATTTTACCTTCCATCTTTCCCGATAGAGAACTCAAACCACATATCCCGAACAAGTTTTATTATTTAGTATAGTCAAGTATTCACTTTCTCACTTTCCTGTGACACTACTCATCTTCTTATTCCCTACTTATTAACCGTCCTTTCTTCTCTTTCTCCTCTCCCCTCTCTCCCATCCCGAACTATATTTATTATTTAGTATAGTCAAGTATTCACCATCTTTTCCGTGACACCTCCTCATCTTCCATATCTCCCTACTTTATTAACCGTCCTTTCTTTCTCTTCTCCTCCCTCCCTCCCCATCCCGAACTATTATTATTATTTAGTATAGTCAAGTATTCACCTTCTCTTTTCCGTTGACACCTCCTCATCTTCTTATTTCCCTACTTTATTAACCGTCCTTTCTTCTCCTCCTCCCCTCCCTCCTCCCACCCCGAACTATTTTTATAATTTAGTATATTTAGTCAAGTATTCACCTTCTCCTTTTTTGTGACACTACTTCCTCTCATCTTCTTATTTCCCTACTTTATTAACCGTCCTTTCTTCTCCTCCCCCCTTCCTCCCATCCCGAACTATATTTATTATTTAGTATAGTCAAGTATTCACCTTCTCCTTTTCCGTGACACGCTCATCTTCATATTCACTTACTTTATTAACCGTCCCTTTCATCCCATCTTTATCTCCCCTACTTTATTAACCGCCCTTTCTCCCTCTTATCATCCCTACTTTTATTAACCGCCCTTTCTCCCTCTTATCTCCCTACTTTATTAACCGCCCTTTCTCCCTCTTATTCTCCCTTACTATATTTAACCCCCCTCCTCCTCTTACTCCTACCTTTTATTAAACCGTCCTTCCTTCTCTCTCCCCCCCACAGAGAACCAGAACCACAGATCCTCGACTTCCAGACGCAACAGTACAAGCTCCTCCCTCAGGTAGCTTCAGTGTTCGCCCTCCTCTTCTCGGCGAGCGACCTGGCCACCACGTACGCCCGGGTGTCCACTGACATGACCAAGGGGAACATGGAGAGGCTGCCCGAACTCCACTCCTTATCCAGCGGTCTGAAGGCCCTCAGTGCCTCGGACGCTACGGAGGGCGTGGAGATCTGCCGTCTGTCCTGCGGCGGCCACGGGTACCTCAAGTCGTCCAGTCTGCCCAGGATCTACTCGGCGACGACCTGCGCGATTACCTACGAGGGGGAGAATACCGTGTTGTGGCTGCAGGTGGCGAGGTGGGTGAGGTGGCGGGATCGCTGAGGGGCTGGGTTGATGGATTCAGTCTGTGCAGGGGGGTCGAGCGCTGGATGGTTGCTGGGTTTGTATCGTTGTATGTTTTTTATTATGCCATGCGGCACTATCACGTTTCCTATATTTGCCTTTTAGAATCTACGTGTATTATACTAAATTCCCCTTCGCATACACAAAAAAAACACACACAAACACACACCCCTCATTATCTCACACACACACTCATACCTAACACCACACACACACACTCATATCCTCACACACACATACACACCAACATACCTTTTC